GAGTCAAGAAATACACCGTCAGCAAAACACAGAATCTAGCACCAAATTACCAAGTCAAGAAATACATCGACAAAACACGGAGTCTAACACAGAATTACCAAGTCAAGAAACACCAGGTCAACAGAACACGGAACCTAACGCAGAATTACAAAGTCAGGATACACAACTTAACAAACAGTTGCAAACTCAAGTCCAAGAGATACACCGCCAACGATCTACAAGGGAGTTTCTAGCACAAAGTCAAGAAATACAACGACAGCAAAACTCAGAACCTGACAGACAGTTACAAATTCCAAGCCAAGAATGTCGAGCACAAGTTTCAACTAATCGCGTTAGTCAACAGGAACAACTGCCACCTCAGGAGAACTTAAACGTAGAACAACCGAAGGCAAAAGGAACCAAGTCACCAACGCTAGTAAGACAATGTTTCGTCGAGACAGAGATTCCAAATAGTAGTCAAAATCGCCAGCAACAAGTAAGACATTTAGGTATACTTGAACAAAAAGATGACAATCATAACATCATAGTCCAAGACAAGTTCTTTAAAATTTTCAAAAATCCAAGAAAACGGACAAGGAATCATTCTACGAGATAATCAGAGTCCTTCAATTCGATGGAAAAACCGGGGAAGTGTAACATAAAATTTACACTAACTAAATTTTATTACACAAATAATACCAAACAACACAAATATAATAAAAACAAAATAAACAACAAGAAAACAAACAACAATAGAAAGAAACTTGTAAACAACGAACCGTTGAAATCACAAGAACAAAGTTACTGCTTGCTTCGCACATCACAAGTATAAAAGGCGAAGCAAACGCAGTAGACGGGGATTCAGCAAGACAGCGAGCTAAGAACAGGTCGCTCTATATTACATGTGCTGAAACACCAAGAATCGAAATTTACATCTCGATTTCTATTTTGTTTTATTTTTTTTTATTTTTAATAGAAATACACATTTCTATTAAAAATTATAATTAAAACGAAATTAACATTTCGTTAATAGTAATAGAAATATAAATTTCTATTACTCTATTGTTCATAACGAAATCAAATTTTCGTTAGTAAATTACGCGGTAAGGTGATAATACCACATGAGTATTAGCACCCATACCAAATCCATTGTATGAAGAAGAAATTCACATTTCTTCAAACCTTTTGTCAGGGGCGCTGAAATTAACATTTCTACGTCAAATCCATTGTATAGAGAAGAAATTCACATTTCTTCAAACCTTTTTTCAGGGGCGTCGAAATTAACATTTCTACGCCAAAATCCATTGTATAGAGAAGAAATTCACATTTCTTCAAACCTTTTGTCAGGGGCGCTGAAATTAACATTTCTACGCCAAATCCATTGTATAAAGAAGAAATTCACATTTCTTCAAACCTTTTGTCAGGGGCGTCGAAATTAACATTTCTACGTCAAATCCATTGTATAGAGAAGAAATTCACATTTCTTCAAACCATATCACCGTACCAACGTCACCATCCACCGTATTCCACTGTTCCTATCAAATAAATTTATTGTAGGACTGAACCTTGAATCCGGCGAGTAAAACCCCGGCCAGAAAGGTTCGTTACAAAGTGAATGGCATTTTTTTAAAAGGATATTTCATTTTTTATTTTCCCATATTTTATTATTATTTTTAATTTCATTCTCCTTTCTTTTTCAATTGCACAAATAGTGTACATAGTATAGTAAACAAAAATAAAAACAACATTAAAATATGTATGTATATATGTTAAATTAATGTAAAAACTAACATTATTCTGTTGTTTTTTCACTGTTATTCTTATTTTCACTACAACTTATGTGGTTCGTTGTTGTTGTTGTTTTTGTTGAGATCTCTGCCTGTATGCAACAAGATATTGTTGCTTTGCGTTCACTTTGCAAGGCAACTGCAGTTGCCACAGCTTCAGTAGCAACCACAAAAATAAACAAAGCCATTAACGTAATACGATACGTACAACAATTTGACAACAACAACAACAACAACAACAACAACAACAGCGATGGCGAGGGTGGCTTACAAAATTAGATATTTACGAGATAAAATTTTAAAAGGCTTCATTTAACTAATTCTGTGTGTATAAATAATGAAGATGTAGATAAATTGAATAAGGAAATATAAACGTTAATCATATAACTATTTCAGGGTTGTTGCTTAGTGATAAAGTATTTATTTGCAATAGAAAAATTTTTTGTATAAAAGTACAATTTATTTATTTATTAGTCGTAAAGTTGTAATTTTTATTATATTTGGAAAATTGTTAATCGTATGGATAGGAATGGTTTATGGTAAAAATATTTTTTCGATTTTATAAACAATGCATTAACTCTTAATACTATAAATTACAGCTGTTTTTTCTATCAGAATTGTTTTCTTCTCTTCCTTTTGATGCAATCTATATCTTTTTCTGTCTTTTATCACTACAAAATGATTTTTGATTATTCTTCACTCTTCTTTTTTCTTCTTCTTTATTATTCATCTTTCTTCTTTTCTGGTAATAAAAGGAAGGGATTCTTCTATATTCTTTATTTTTTTTGTTTTATTTTTTTCTGTTTTCTTCTTTATTGTTTTTTGTTCGTCAATCTTCCATTTTTTTCTTTTGTATCTTGTTTTTGTATCAATGCTAATATTGGAAATATCACGGAGTGTTCCTTTTCGAACGCCGGTAGACATGTACTACACGATATTTGAGAGAATAGGTTGAACTTCGGCCCATGTCACCTAAAGTCCAGTGTTCTATTTGAACAGTAATTAATTTTGAAGGTTCTATATTGGGCAAATAAGGGCCCATGAAGGCATTAAAATACAAAGGATATATTGAACAAAATTAATTACTGGTATCTTAAAAGTTGTTTCATAGAAATTTAAAAAAATTAAGGAATGATATATTTTTTATTTTATAAAATATGTGTCAAAACCGAAACTTTATCGATACTATGAACGATTAATTTTTAGCAGTTTTCGCTTGAATTAAACAACTTAATTCAATCCTTTTAGGTGCTGATATATGTGGTCTTTTATAGTTAATTTAAAGATTAATTATATAACATATTTGAGGGTTTTAGTCTATTTAATATTGAAAAACATTAGTTTCAAATATATAAAAAATGTTCAATTTTATATACATATCATTTATATATTTCATGAATTATTTTTTATTTTAAACTATAGAGTTGGGAATTAGCATTATGGCATTACCTTAAGGTAATTAACATAATTACATAATTAAAGACTTTAGATGCATCCCTCGCTTAGTACATACTCATTTGCACTTTCTCTTTGTTTATCACTCGTATCAGCGCTGATTAACTTGTTTACTTAAAGTGAAATTCATGCTGGAGTGAACATCCTAACAACCCACGCTGCATTACAATTTCATCAACAGAATTCCACTGCATCGTCGCCATATCCGGTTCACGTCATTGTTGCAGTCAGCCCTTGGGGTGCATTTAAATAGCGTCAATTTTTTACATTGCAGTTTGAAAACGAAACTAAAAGCTACCCGACCCAACCAAATCAGTTTATATAATTTTTATAGTTCATTCTACGTGTATTTTATATATTTTAATTTTTTTGCCTGTTCACAAGTTGTTTACATAAACATTGTGACACTGTAACCCCTACTCCGTTGCGTTTTTAGTGTTTTGTGTTGGTTATAATGAAGCCATTCCTAATATAATTAATGCACTATAACACCATAAGTTCAACGGTTTCATTAAATTTATTAAATTAAAACTTTAACTAATTTATCCAACTGCAAATTTAGTTATTATTTAATGTATAATTTAAAAGAATGAAATTATGGCTTAGTGAAGTCTATATTAGCATATTTTGTGCTCAGAATCATAAATTAATATTATTATTCTTGTTTATATGTAATAACAATAATATATAATTTATTATTACAGATTAATTTAATAAATAATGAAGATTAAGAAATAATATAAGGGAAATTATGTAAAATTTAAATAAAATTATTTTTTATTGCCTACTTATAGGGGCATTAGTAATAAGTGTCTTTTGATTTTTTACTACAGCATGCATTCAAAAAGTACATTTGCAGTATAATTATTATCGGAGTAGTAGAAACCTTTTTAAACAGCATAATTAAAAGAAGGGGTAGGATGGATAGATAATGATAGATAGATAATAATTTCAAATCTACATTTATGCTCTGAGAATAAAACTTATAGATTTAACAAATCTTTTCTTTTTTAATTTATCATTTCAAAGATAAGACATAATATTTATATAAAGTTTCCACAGAGATTGAGAGATCCAGATTTAATAGCTTATCAGATTACGTTAAGAAACTGAAAAAAAAAAATATATATATCTTTGTCCAGATTTTTAGCTCATTGAGATGCTGGCTTAATCTTTTTATATATCTCCTGCTAGAATTTCGACTATTCCGACTATTCCGACTATCTCTAGCAAAAATAATTTTCATGCAATAATAAATAAAGTAAAGCTACATAGTCTATTGGCAATAGACTAACTGTCAAAATTCATACTTTTGTTCCACCAACATGCGAAGTTAATTTGAAAAATTTGATTCTTGTTCTAATATTAAACACATATACGAGAATTAGAACATACATATTATGTCACAGCTTCTAACACCAGTTTTCTTAGGTATGAAGACAATTGCCTTATATCATATAATGTCATAAAATGTTTTGAAAAATAGGGAAGCCATAGAAAGTTTTTGTAAACTTCTATGTTCTTATTTTTTTGTTACCAATCAAATCAAGTCGATTTAATCTTCAGGATATTCGATATATGAACAAATTGCACTAACCATGACTAAGCTATACTAAAGACTTTGATAAAACTCATATCATTTCATATATTTCCCTTTGTCTAAAGTAATCATAATAGAAACAACAATATTTTATTAAATTATATTTTATTAAATTATTATTATTTATTAAATTATTATTTAAAATTTATTAAATTTTATTGAAATTATAGCAAAATAAAATTTTAGGCAATTTAAAAATTTAGTTAGCAAAAACCTTTCCCTTCTGAAAACCAGTAGAGGAAGGTAGGGTGTAGCTCCTATAGTCAATCATCAATCCTGTCAACTAACTGCCACTTATTGTATTTCATAAAACTTTCACTACTTGTAATAAGGTAAAAAAAATGAGTTCCTTAAGTATATTAACTGGATCCTAAGCCAGGCTTTAGCAACGATAACAGCAAAGAACGCAGCCCCTTCATATTTCGCACTAAAGAAATAAATTTATTACTCAAACTGCAGTTTAAAATCTTTTATATGTGCTTAGAATTAGTGGCTAAATAGATTAGGCTTTGTCTCATTAGTTTAGTATAATAAGTTCAACTTACTAATTTATTATGCATCGGCTTTGATAAAAAGATATTGAAAGATACAAATTTAGTCTAGAGATACTTCAGAACACCGCTTCTTTCAATTCCAGTTAAAATTATTTTACTTTCACTATTAACACTAATAATGTCAAAAGTTGGAAAATACTTGCATATATTCCATAATGTTAGTTTTGTAAATTTTGGTGAAAGTTAGAATAGCTCAAGACTAAAATACTAAAAAACATGAAATATTAGAAAATGATCCAAAAAAGCATATTACCCGATATACACAATATTAATTCTGTTACAATTTTTTAAAAGTGTTGAGGAAGTCGATTATTTCTTGAAGGGTCTTGCAGCAATTAAAGAAGAATAAGTTGAATTTGTAAACACATCTCATGACCCTATATGCATGTGCCTCTTCTGATGTGCAGACCTGCGAGGAGATTAAATGCGGTTCCGGTAAAAGCTTTAATACCCGCAACAAATACATTCCGCCCGACTCGGCCTTCGTTAAAACAAACACGGGACGGGGTTGATTATCCTCAGAGTCCATAGTTCCTTTTCTGCTCTTCAACTTTATATATTATAAAATTTTGTTATAATTATAAAAGAGTATGCCTAAATGTGCCTATATTGTATGTGCTTCTAAAATTTGTAAATAAATTTTATTTAATATTTTATTTTAGTTATATTATCTAAATTAAATAAAATGCATCGTTTGCTATATGCAGTTAAAAATTTTGTGTGCAATAAAGTAAAAATGTTGAAGATATAACATATCTCAAAATATTTTTGAAATTTTTTTTGTAATGAATATTAACATAATAAATTTGAATATATCTTAATAAGTACTCATATCTCAAAAAGCTTGAGAAGAACATGTTAACCGAAGAATGACATCCTCTGGGATCAATCTTGAGGTCCCTGTGGATGTCATTATTCTTAATGGAACTTTGTTTGTTGTTATTGGGAATTTATTTATTTCATTTATTAAGTAGAAAACGAAAATCTTGACTTCTTAATACAAATATTTAAAAGTACTACATGCTCCATGCTCCGTTTTTTTAGTTTATTTTATACCATTATAATATTTATTCAGAAATAGAAGAAAGAAGACATCCAAAGGCGTGGGACATATGTATATTACAACTTTCTACCCGACTTTCTACCGAAGTTGTGGTTTCACAAAGATGACATCACTTCCAGTTGTTATATGCAAACCATATCTTCCATCTCTTCTTCAAAATCTTTGAATGGTTTCTAATTTTCTACCGCACTAACCTTTCAATATTGGAAGTAGTCCCAGTAAACAAATCGTCATTCATTTTGTTAGTGTTGTTCTATAAGCTATCGTTTCTAAATCTTTATATCCGTTTAATTACAATTTCCTGAAACTAGTCTTAACTGAAAGAAATGCAACTTTAAGATAAACATCTACGTTAATAGCTCAGTATTTACATTAAATCATGTAGTGCTTAAGCCTTTTCTGGAAAGTAGAGTACCCATAGAAAGTTTAGCATTAAATAGTTAATTGCATATCTATTGGATACCGGGCCCTAAGTTTATTGGAGACAAATATGAGAAAGCTGTTTGGCGAGAGAACAATATACGGAATCATATTCAAAATCTATAGAGGTTCATATACATAAAAAGGAATTACTTAGAGTCTAAAACATAAATGCAGAGAACTGAAAGATAAGTACATGGAACATAACTTGATTGAATATACTTGAATGAACATATCTTATTTCTATGCCTAAGTAAAAATATTTAAATGCCAATACTAATCCTAAATTTTTTATACAATTCAAGACAGATTTCCATATACAACACTTTTTATTATGATGGATTTAATCAGGACTTAATATAATACCTCAATAATAATATCTAATATGCAATGAAGAACATTTTTTTATATATCTTATATTTAAAAAGTACTAGACATTTATTCATTGACGAATTTTTGTTATTTATTTCAAAATGAAACAATGATATAAATATCTTATATTATATTTCTTCAATATGCACTTCTGCTTAATTAAAGACTGTAAAGTAAATTTATAAATTAATTTTCAATATCTTTAACTAAATTAAATAACTGAAATTTTACTCTTCACATATTCATGTAGTCCATTTCTAACTTGGTGTAAATATATACATTATACTAAACAGAAACCAAAGATGCAGCTAACAGCACCATTTAATCGAATATTTATAAAAGAATCGAAAGTATAAGACAAAAAAGTGCTTGCCAATTGAAATAGTTTCCATAGATATTATATATATTATAAATACATAGATAAGTTAGATATTAATCTATCTTTGAAAATGTTTTCAGTGTTAATAGAAATAACTTATATTCTATAAATAAATGGAGAAAAGAAATAACCAACATCCATTCAAAATATTTTGGTATATTTTTCTTTTTCTTGTTTTCATACATATTATTGAAGAGTTTTCTTATTTGTTTTGTATTTAATTGATATTTTATGTCCATTTTGATGAAAGAAACTAAATTCATAATGGAATTTAGTTTTCAAAAGAGAGGTTTCTTTATCCAACAGTAGTGAAATTGAACAACAAAAATTTTTTTTATTATTTTTAATTAATAAATTAACTATCTCAAAAAAAGTAATTTAAGGAAATTATTCCAAGAACGCTGTTGATAGGTATTTTTCAGTATTGGAAACAGTTGTATGGTCAGTGAAAAATTCAAGTAATTAAAAAGTAATAAAAATTTTTGTTGTTGTAATTTCACTACTATTCCATAAAAATCTCTTATTTATTTTGGGTTTATGGCAAGGTCAATGATAATAATTTGTTTTTAAAAATACTACTCATACTTATATATTAATTATATGCAATAATTCCACTACTTACTTATTAGTATCAGCAATGTGATGATTTTTTGTAGGGTTCCACTTCCAAGATCAGTGAAGTACTGATTACAAACATTGAAGTTTCAAGTAATTAAGTAGCAACTTCGTTTGTTAAACATAAATTTTATCACTTTAAATTTTATTTCCTTTAATACTTTATCTTTATTGATGACACTTAAAACAATTTACGACATAAACGACCACAATCAGTGCTTGCCTCAGCGGGAGGAGGACGAAAATTCAATTTAAAAATCAGCGTTTAAATGTTAAATCAGCCAATGGATATTGTAAAAAATTTCACTTTTCTGCTGACTTTATTGGTTAATCAATTTAACGCTTCAAGATAACGTGAAATACAATACAAAGTGTGAAAATGAAGTCAATAAAAATAGCGCCATTAAACTGTCTGATTACGCGCCAAAAATTGAAACAGAAAAATCTTCAACTACAGGACACTTAAATGCTCCAGCAGTAAGACGACTCTCCACACAAATAGTAACTGACGAAGCAATTGCCATGCAAGTCAGTACATCTAAAACCGCACCATATACACTCAAAGGATATCTTAAAGTTTTATTTTGTTTATTTTTATTACAAGAAAGTTTGTGTTTTATCACAAAGAATCGTTTGCTCCTTAAGGATATTAAACACTCTAAAGTTTTTGCAACGTATCAAGATACATCTCGGCTTTGCGACGACTTTGCGAAATATTTTTACGAAAATTTTCGTATTCTTATTCGTCGAGTAAGAATTTTACGCGTATCTGATTTTGTACTGAGATGAAATGCAACCGTTAGGATTGAAAGTACATAAGGAACTGTTTGGTTGAGTTGGTGCATGCCAGAAATTAACTTATCACAGCGACCAGCAAACCATGAACGCAAACATGCCACAGCATGTGCCGAAACTTGGTAGCATGTTTACAAGCCTTTCGTACCAATATGTGCCACCAAGTTTGGGAGCTTATATTTTGGGTAAGGAATAGTTACGCTCTTAGTTTCCACATTCCACAGCAGCAATGCGCATGTCAATTTCCAACGTAATATGTTGCGGTCCGCTGCCTACGCCACTTGCAAAGAAAGTAAACAACATTCAGGCAGTGTGACACTCCACAGCTGACTCCACAGCATCGCAACGCAACTGGTGGTTACTACGAGTTGAGGCATGTGGTTGCTTAGCTACAAAGCTAAGCATTGCTCACAGCACATCTTTGCATTGTTATCAGTTGCAGTGTTAACCTAAGCTAACAGCTAATAAAACGACGTGAAGAACATCTTACCTCCCACTTCTCTTCACTTCACTTCACCTTCTGCTATTTCACAGTTTTTATTTTATCTAAGAACTTGACAATAAACATGTCACTCCGTCCCAGTGCGGTGTTTATGCACTGTTTAGGTTTGTCAGAGTGAACACTCCCCTTCGCATAAGCGTTCCATATGTTCGCTTATTAAATTCGCATCATCCTGTTACGTTGGTTGTCCTTAAAGAGAAGTGCTTCGTAGTGTCTTCCACTTTTATGCGCCCGTAATTTTCTCCTGAGGTTTACAATTTCAAATTGCTTTGAATTTAATCAAATTGAATTTGATTTTTATTAGTACTTTTTTGTGTGCACTTTAAATTGTTGCCTAGTTTCGTTGGCTCACAGCCAAGCACATCATTTTTATCTTTTATATCTTTTCTTTTTGATTTAATAATAATATGGTCTCTCTGATTTCCTTTTTAATCCTTAGAAACGTTGTTTTTTTTCTTTTGCTCAGCCATTAAAATGAAATTTAATTCCTTCTCTGCTTCTAATTGCTTTGTTGCATTAGCAGCGGAAAAAGTTTTGATTTTAATGGGAAAATATTGTAGCCTACTTTTGGCGGCTTACATTAGCTCACCAAAGGGCATTAAAAATTTAAGTGGAACATTTAAGGATTAGTTTTGGAGTAGAAACTACTTTTTAGTCACATTAAATTTCAAATATTTTTTAAAAACCTAATATTAAAGCCTAGAAAATCTATGGAATGTAATAAGTGTACATTCAAATACAAAAAAAAATTAGGTAATTTAATTTGTTTCACAAATGCCAAGCAAATACTAACTTTGTAACACTTTTGTAAATTCTATGTAAATACAATTGTTGATTATCCCCATAGACATTATAGTATACTGATATATAACTATTAAAAACTATATAACTATTAACCATATTGTTTGAATTATGCACATATATTTAAAACTAATTTAACTCATCCAATGATAACATAAAATGATTGTGTAAAAATGTTAAAACTCACATACAGACATGTATATATGTTGGAAAAGTTTATTTCTTAGAAACGAGTTGAAAAGATCTCAGCCATCAAAGCAGTCAAAGACTTCCAGCTGAAATCGCATTCCAGCATTCAGGAGGTAAAACATAGAAGGCTTAATACTTAAATTTTCAAATTCATCTAAGTTAGGAGTGAGTAATGATAGCTATATACAGAGTTAGAAAAAATTTTTTAAAGCCTTAAAGATAGATATCTGCTTGTCAGCCTTCACTGACCATATGTATAGCATATAACTTACTCACTTCGTTGGGCATTACAAATGTGAGTGTTATCGACTGCGTCCAATAACTTCAGGCACCCAGCCTGATCAGTGGCTTACTGCTTAGGAATGCTTTTTAATATCCCACCTAAGTGAGTCCTTTCTTTGTATCCTGGCTGATACAAAAATTTTTGTTTTACTGATTATATTATTTTTATCTATATGTTCAGCTCTTATTAATCCAAAGTCAAATATTAAATTCTA